ATAATAAGTTATTCTCGCTTCAGTGATTTTGACATAAACAGAAACATGTAAAAAGCTCAGTAAAGGTTTCTTCTTGCTGTTACAATCCATTACTAAATAGCAAAAGGAGCAGGAAGACATTTTTGCCCATTTGTGAGTCTGTTAGTAAAATATTTCATGAACGAATTCTAATCAGACGTGCAGAAAATAATCATTCAATGAGCATTTACAGCTGAACTTTAGGATTCAGTTCAAGATGGCTGACATCCAAATGACTTTAAAACAACAGAAACAAAATTGTGCCTTAATTAAATTAGATTTTGGAAGGCCCTGTCTCTCTATAATGCTTTAGATATGACAACTTATCAATATTTTTAATCTGTTAAAGACGGACTTTAAAAAAAATCAACTGAAAGCCTCTCAGCCGTGCACTGTAACACTGATCAAACATAACTTTTATTAGTAATTAAGACGTGAAAAATTCATAAGATGTCTAAAACATTACAGTGTGACAGGGCCTTAGCATTAAGTGGAAGTGATTATGAACATATTCTGAGCAGTAGTGGCCATTGTGCGGGGTCAATCCTGTTTGTTGGTTAGCAAAAAATCTCATGAACTGCAGCACAAATTTTAATAAATCATTCAAGAAATAATTATTGGCTGTCCAAGTGATTCACATTTGAAGTAAATCAAATAAAAAATGGCCACCAGTGCTAATCAATAAACACAATCGGCTGTAATTCAGTCAGTTTTGCGTAAATCAAGCTAAAAACTCAAGTGGTTTTATCTGAGGATTATCCACAACACACACTTCCTGATACACAGATTGTGTTGTATTTCAGTTTAAAAGTTTAATGTTAATTATTGGAGTCGACCCTGGATATCTGTTCACAAACAAATCTCACAGACCAAAACTTTGATTTTACTGAAACTTTCTAAAATTACTGCTGTATATCTACAACTCTTTAATGTGTAGGATTTCCCTACATGACCGTGGACTGACGCTCTGGCGGATGACATCTTTGCACTATTTGTTTTTACATTTCTACTGATGTCATCATTTGTCAATAACAAGTGAGATTGGTTAAACTAGTTGATTTTCTTTTTAAATCCCTGACTCAAAGCTGATTAGATCCAAAGTGTTTCTATGTTTCTGGCTGGTGGCTTCAGATGCACATGGGATGGGACTAATTCCCAGACAGCAATCCAAAGGAAAGCACCTGCTTCCGTTGCAGAAAAAAAGAAAAAAGAAAAAAAAACAGACATTCTTGACTTGCTGATAAAACCCTGGAGACTCCCCAGGGAAGAAGGAGTAGAGCTGCACACAAGACTCTGGCGGGGTGGAGGGGAGGGGGAGGTGGATTCTTCTCGGGCCTAAAAAGGGAAGCAGGAAGAAAAGCAGAAATCAGAGTTTGCATGAAGTGTTGGAGTTTCACAGAAAGTAAAGAGCTGCTGTTTCATCTGTGTTCTGCCTCTTCTTGTCTCCTGTGTGATAGCGGTCCGGGCAGATCGCATGCGTGGGGGGAGGAATAAATTTGGCCCCATGTACAAGAGAGACAGGGCCTTGAAACAGCAGAAAAAGGCTTTGATTCGATCCAACGGGTTCAAGCTGGAGACCACGGCCCCCCCGCCGGTCTCCCCTCTACAGACTGACTACAGCTTCACTGGCACCCTACACGCACTGCCCACTATCTCCAAAAGCCTGCTCCCCTCCACCCCCAGCTCCCTCCCCTCCACGGACTACGAGGCCAGCCTGTATGGACCCACATCCCTGGGCATGGCCATGCAGTCCCACATGCCCCTCACCTCACAGTACCAGTACACAGCCTTCCCCAGCAGGGCCATTAAAGCTGAGTGTCCAGACTACACCAGCTCCCCCGAATCCCTGACAGGATACCCCTATCCAGACGTGTACCCCTCGGCCTCGCCACAGCCCCCCAGCCTGCCACCGTTGGTGCTGGAGTTGCTGCGCTGCGACCCGGACGAGCTGGTGGTGCAGAACAAGATTGTGGCCCACCTGCAGCAGGAGCAAAGCAGCCGGGGCCGACTGGAGAAGCCCAGCACCTTCAGCCTCATGTGCCGCATGGCAGACCAGACCCTGTTCTCTATCGTGGAGTGGGCCCGGAGCTGCATTTTCTTCAAAGAGCTGAGGGTGAGTCCCAGGTTCACACGTCCATGTGGTCCTGAAACACTTTAACAGTTCAGAAGTTAAAAAAATACAAGAAAGCCACATTTTAATTAGCTATAAATCTGCCATTTATTTATTGTTATTGCAGTGTGTGTGTGTGTGTGTGTGTGTGTGTGTGTGTGTGTGTGTGTGTGTGTGTGTGTGTGTGGGCATGTTCTTGTATTACTGTCCTGATGGGGTCCATGAGCTGACATGCACCTCTCTATGTGGGTACAATAAGAGACTAAAACTGGGTTGTCACAGGATCACTGGAAAGAATTAAATGAGTGGAGGGGTTGTGTGTGGTGCAGTGGGTGGGCTGCTGATCAGGGACCAGAAAGTTGCAGTATTCAATGACCTGCTGTGGACATATTGTTGTGGTGTCCTTGAGCAAGACACCTATTCCTAACTGCTCCCAGGTGTGCAGCTCTGCTCCACTTGGATGTGTTTCATGTGTGATGGGTTAAATGCACAACATGATTTTTTTCAGTGCTTGGGACAAGAACGATGACAATTCACAAATCACATCATAGAAAGAAAAAAAAAATCTTCATCATGATGTTTTTCATGGGAAGATATATATACATATGTATGTATGTGTGTGTGTGTGTGTGTGTGTGTGTGTGTGTGTGTGTGTGTGT